CTGTTTAACAGTGTATTTTTCGCTATTTAAGAGTCATCAGAACCATATCCAGGTTGATAAATTAATAATATTTGTAAAAGATCAATCTTTGTAATAGGGTTGAAATTTTCAAATATTTTCTTCTCTTCTTTTTTAATCTATTGCAATTAAATATCAAACAACCTCCCCCACCCATCCAACGCAGCGGTAAATAAACTTGTAAGGTTTCTTTTGGGTATTTCTAACAAAACTAGATTTTATTCGCTTCATTGAATCGATCGCTTACACGTAATTGAATAATGATGTGGATAATGAAATGATTTTCCTCCTAACCGTAAAATGATACCCAAGCCCGCTACGAATGTGATGCTAGCGAGAGACAAATACCATTGAATGAACACCGATTTGAAGGCAGTTTATATGGCCTATGAATGACTGGCTATAGGCTTTCAATACATATTTCATATTGAGCATGAACGGCTCACATTACAAGCAGAATTAGCCCCACTTGGCTTTAAGGTAAATGCTTACAAATTAAAAGCTAATAATGATTAATGAAATGATTCTCTGCCAGATTTGTTATAGAAACAAGTGCGTGAACTCCAATCGATTTTATATTCAACTGTATGTGTGTGTGTGTGTGTGTGGTGACCATGTCATTAATGCGCCACATCCTTAGGCTATAGGTCACAATGGCTTAGATGATTTGAAAGACTGGTAATTTAATTGTTTAGATCGAAATTGCCATAAAAATGTAACGTCAAAGAGTAACAACACTCAATTATGTCGATGAGTTCTCGCGGCAGTGGAATGTACGCATACAAGGAGGCAACGGTAATTTTGCGGGAATTATACGTTACACTGTTTCCAAACGAAAAATCGCTGTGAGAAAAATGTTGTCAAATGCAATTTTAAGGCTTGTGAATATTGTTTTGGGGATTTTGATATATCTATATTTTCATAAGAAGCAATCAGATTTATGATCAGGGATATCGTGCGTGGATTTTTGAAATATAATTCTTTAATGGATTATCAGAGTTTTAATTGGTGATTTTATAAGGATATTTTTCGTAAGGATATTAAAATTATTAAATATATTTTTTTTCTAAAAAAATATTACAGATATGATTGACGATTTTTGCAAAGATATTATCAGGGACTATAAGACGAATAATCGGATTGATTTATTTATTTATTTTATTTATTCGGAACTATCGGAGACCTATACTTTTTCCAGAACCATTAGAGCTATAATAGTGAACCTTTTTTTAATATTTGTGGAGCGACTATCTAAGCTATAATTGAGGATTTAAAAATATATTTTTTAGGGCCTACTTGAAATATAAATGTGGATTTTTAAATGATATATTTTTAAAAATATTTTTAAGGGACTTTCAGAGCTATAAGGCCAATAATCGTGGATTTTTCAATAATATTTCTTCAGCTTTAAGCGCGGATTTTTAAGAGCTATAATTCATATATTTATACCCTACACCACAAGGTGGTCAGGGTATTATGTCTTTGTGCATTTGTTTGTAACAGGCAAAAGGAAACGAGATAGACCCATAGTTCCTTTTGATTTCTGAGTCGATTTATGCATGTTCTTTCGTCCGTCTGTCTGTCCGTCTGTCCATGTATTTTTGTAAACAAAGTACAGTTCGCATTTATTGCCCTATCCAGACGAAATTTTGCACAAATCATTTGTTTGGCCCAAGGACGAACCTTATTGAAATTGGAGATAATAGGTCAAAATTTAGATATAGTTCCCATATATTTCTTCGTCCCATTTGCCTTTTATTGTGCACCAAACGTGTAATATCTGTACGAATAGTATGGAATTTTGCACGTATGATCAGATTAAACCTGAAAATAAGTACGCCAAATTTGATCGAAATCGGGTTAGATATAGCTATGGCTCCCATATATATATTTCATCCGATTTGTTATTTTTGTCCTCCGCAGCCATAATATGCACTCTGTAACAGCAATATTTAGGGAAATATATCAAATACAGGTTAGAAATACATTTGATAATTTATTTTGAGATCGGTTCAGATTTGGATATAACTCCCATATATAACTTCGTCCGATTTACCTTTGATTGTGCACCAAACGTCTAATATTTGCCTAAATTGGATGAAATTTGTCACCTACGACCAAATTGAGTCTAGAAGCTAGTATGTCAAATTTGGTGAAGATCGGTTCAGATATAGCTATAGCTCCCATATTTACTGTTCATCCGATTTGTTATATTTGTTACCCACAGCCGTAATATGCACTCCGTAACAACGATGTTCAAATACAGCTCAGAAATATCTTTGCCAAATTTTATCGAGATCTGCTCAGATTTGGATATAGCTCCCATATATATCTTTATCCGATTTCAAATTAATTGTGCACCAAATAGGCAATACAAGTCCGAATTTAAAAGACACAAATGCTTCGGCATATTTAGTCCTTTGAACTTTAAATTATAAATATAATCATAGCGTGTACGATTGAATTCCCCCATAAAAACTTTTAATTGTTAGGCGCAGTTCTACTAAATAACCAAAGTGGTGTAGGGTATCATAAAGTCGGCCCCGACCGACTCCACAATCAGCATAAAATTCTATGTCGTTTAGCGATATCCGTCCATCGGTGAAAATCAGTCTAGCTTCCGAACGCACTGAAGAAAGTTGATAAAATTTTACTCAATTTTGTCTGTGCTGGTCCACGTTTTGGTATAGCACCCATATAATGGTACCTCGAAATATAAGGTATTTTGACGACTTTTTGTCAAATTTCGCATTTGAATATTGTCATGGCTTATGACAAAAGTTGCCTATGCAGGTCTACGTCGTCGTAGAGACTCTAATATAACGGCTACATTCGGCATTTTCAAGATTTTAATAGAATTTTAAGGGGATTTTATTTTTTTGAAGTTTGCAAAATTCGTTCAAAATGATGAAGGGTATTCAAAATTCACATTCGATTTTTCTGCCCCAAATTGTCTCACCGTCTCCATATGCTTACCCTAGAAACCAAGAGTAGTGATCTCAATATCAAATTGCAGCGCGATCCCTTCATCCAATACTAAATTTAGTAACATTCGCTAAACCACCGCCAGATCTCAGCACCGGATACCAGCAGAGACTTCAAAAACAATTTTCACGATTCCAGCTCTATTTATACCAACAGTGACATATATATAAAATTTCGGGATTCCAGCTCGATCGCCTCATCTGATATCCAATTTAGTACCACTTAGCACTATTCGAACAATTATAGACAAATTTCCAAAACCACCTCCATATCTTTTACCACAGACACCAACAGTGACATCTATATCAAATTTGAGGAGTTCAGCTCTATTCCTTCATCCAATACCAAATTCACTATTATTTAGTATTTTTCGTACAAATATAGAAGGCAGATACTATTAGAAATCTAAATATCAAATTTCAGAATTGTGGCTCTATCCCTTCACCAAATATCAAATTTTGTAATATTTAGTACATTTCGTGCAATTCTAGTACACATTTCCAAAACCACCTCTGTATTCCAATTTCAGATTACAACAAAGATCTCAATGTCAAATTTGAGGATTCCAGCCCTATCCCCTCACCCAATACCAAATTTAGTTACATTTAGTATCTTTTATACAAATATAGGACGCATTTCCAAACCCCCTCTAAATCTCAATCTCAGACCCCAACTGTTGTCTAAATTACAAATTTCAGAATTTTATCTTTATCCCTTCGACCAATACCAATTCTAGTACCATTTAGTACTTTTCTTAAAGTACTCATAATCAACTTCTGATACCAAAAGAGTCTTAAATATCTAATGTGAGGAATCCAGCCCTATCTCTTCACCCAATACCAAATTTAGTACCATTTACTATTTTTCGTACAAATATAGGACGCTTTTCCAATCCACCCTCATATCTTAATTTCAAAGACCTTGGTATCAAATTTGATGATTCCAGCCCCATCTCTTTACCCAATACGGAATGTGGTACCACTTAATACTTTTCGTACAAATATATGATGAAATTCCAAGCCACCGCCAAATTTAAGGCACAGATACCATCAGTAATCCAAACATGAAATTTCAAAATGTTATCCCTATCCTATCACACAATACCAAATTTAGTACTGTATCAAATATAGTACTATTTAGTACTTTTTGGGCACTTGTAGTACACATTTCCAAAACCAACTTAAATTCTCAATCCTTTACACTAACAGTGACTAAATTTCATATATCAAGCAATATCTGTACAATTAAGTACCTTTCGTACGCTTTCTGCATGAATTTGAAACCCCAACACTTTATTTTAACCCTACCCACCAGCATTTACCCCAAAAGCAATATTTTAAATTACCAGCTTCTTCCTTTCACCCAAAGCCAATTTGTACCGAAACTAGTACCATTTAGTACAGTCCTAACAGTTAGTACATATTACCAAAACCATCTCCTTACACCAATTCCCAAAAATTGATTCTTTTACCTAATTTTAAGATTTTACCACTATCCGATCACATAATCCCAAATGGTACCAAATTTAGTGCATTTTTGTACTTTTGGTACACTTATTGTTACTATTTTAAAAAACATTTTATTTTTTCGATTCTACGCAACATCAAAGGCTCTTACTCCAATTTTCCGATTTCCAACTCGTTTCTTTACCCAAATACCAAAATTAGTACCATTTAGTACTTTTTAGTACGTATTTTACAAAACTACCTCCAAATATCAAACTTACACAATAACAGTGATTCTAGTGCCAAATTTCAGATATTAAGCAGCAGTGGCCCCATTACCAACATTTTAAATCTCCACATCAATCCGTTGAACCAAAACTAAATTTTAGTGAGTTTAGTACCATTTAGTAGGGTTGTTACATTTAGTACACATTTCCAAAAACACTGCGTCCCAAACATAATTTTTATACCAAATGTCAAGATTTCATATAATATTTATTTTATGACGATCTTATACCAATTTCATCCTCCTCCTATTACTTCTCATTGCAGATGGCTACGAACACTCGAGTGTTTCACCCACAACCTATCGTCCCACCCATCCCTCTGTCAGTCCCCAACTTACTGCCGCTCAGGAGAGAGAACGTCGTCTAATGGATGTTTTGGCGGCTCGTCGCAATGCTCTACATCGACCAGGTTTTCGCAATCGCATTGGCACCACAGGACGTACAGCGACCGCTGTTGAGACCACCTCGAAATCACCCACCGATCCAAGGTCAATATGTATACGAAATTGTACGAAAAATTTCACCCGACGAACGACGGCAAGTTGTATGCGACAATGTGCAAATTTTTCACGTAATGGACCCACCATCATTGGTGGTATTGGTGGTGGCGCGGAAAGTGTGGTGATGGTGAAGAATTCATCGAAAAAGGGCACAGGAACGGCACAAGCTGGTGAAAAGGATACGAACGAAATATTATTCACCGATGAGTCTTCACATGGCCTCTTGGTGATAGCCAAGGAGCAGAATGGCACAGCAAATCACATAACCGATGAGGTCAAGGGTATTGGGGCAGCAAGTAAGCTGAGGGGAAGACGTAAACCTGGAACTATGGTGACGGTGGCCACAACATCCATAGAAGATGACGAAATACAACCGTATTTGTATTTTGGGCAAAAACTTCCGCCTCTGAAACCAAATGCCCTGACCATTACCTCGGTTAGTGATGAACATCCGAAGCTGCTGGAAGTATCGGTGGCCGAGGAATTACCCTCCTCAACGACACCTGTAACTGTGACCTCAACCCTATCGGCTGTGGAAAGGAGTCGGGCAAGGTTTAAGTATAATCCTCGAGGAGGGGTAAGTTTCAATAGGCGTTATACCACCCTGCATAGGGGTACCACACCTGAGGCCCCCACGGAGGTGAAAACCACCACATTGAGAATTGTTACAGAGAAACCGCTAAAGGTACAGCCATTGAAACCGAAAGCGGAAATTGTAACTGAAATATCGGTGGTGAAAAAGGTCGAACCCATTTTGGAGTCCATACCAAGGGAGGCATTGAAGGAAAAAGAGGACAGCATAGTGACAGCTACTCCTTTAATTATTACCGTTTTGAGTGATGAGGAAATGATGACTCCGCCCATTTCGGATATACCCAGTACAGAGTCGTCAACGAGCACAACAGCAGAGAGGGAGATAGCCTCAACGACCAGCACAACAACAACAACAACAGCTCTTGAAACCACAATAACCACAACAACTACCATGGCACCGATCACCACCACAACAACAAGTACCCCGGCTCCCAGGAGATATTCCGAATTTATTCCCAAAACTTCGGCCAAAGTTACACCAACAACAATAACTCCAATTCCAACAACATCTACGACGACAACAACTACCACCACCATTATACCCACCTCAACAACTTCCACAACGAGTACTACAACAACAACCACACCTTTGCCAACCACTACCAGTACCCCAACCACCACAAGTACCTCCACAACAACAACAACAACTACAACCACAACAGAAACACCCACAACCACCCGAAAATCCGATATCATAGAAGAAAATAACGAACTGCTGAGAGCTCTCGGTCCCAGTTTAGTCGAACAACACGATGACGATACGAACATCATTATTTTCGTCAATCGCACATCGGGTGTGTACCGAGGCTCACTGAGCCCTAGCAGTACAACAATGCGACCGTTCCCACAAGGATTTACCACCGATAGTGGAGTAACCAGATCAAGCGCCGGTGTACCGATATCTGGACGATCCACTGAAAATCCTCCAACCAAAGAAAACCCGCCCATTGTCAATCAACCTGCCACAAGTACAACAACGAGACAACCTCAGGTAACTGGGGAAATTTCCTCAAGTGTGGTGACTGATGATCAGGAAATCTCCTTGGAAATGCACCGCATGAATATTGTGACCATGGTCTTGGCTGGCATTGGTATTGTCCCGCTGCTGGCCATAATTCTGTACCTGCTACGTAACTATCTCCTGAAGCCTCCCATCAAAGACGATGAAGATTTCGATGTGTGCATTACCGATCAACAGCCCATAAGTCCGGTTAAAAAGCTTGATGGAAAATATCAAGAGGAGGACGAAGATGTGGTGGATCATCACAAGAAACCACCCCAGCGACAGCATAGTTTACACAGCAAATTGGTGGCACCCCCATTGGCCCGTGATGCAAATCACAATCATGCCCAGCAGCGTTATGATGACAAAAGTTCGGTGACCAGCGATCAGGAATTTGATCGCTCCAATATTCGTCTGAAAAGTCTTTTGGGAGAGGGTAATTTCGGTCAGGTGTGGAAAGCCGAAGCCGATGATTTGAGTGGCCATTTTGGTGCCACACGTATTGTGGCTGTTAAAACCATCAAGGCATGCAGCACTCAGCTGAGTCTCAAGGAAGAGGGGAACATTATGCGCAAATTGGGTTCTCATCAGAATGTTGTAACCCTGCTGGGAGCTTGTGTGGAAACAGGTTAAGTTTTGTCTCCTCTTCTATACCTCTGAAAATTGAATGTTTTTAATGGTATTTAATTTTTGTTAATTCTGTATGTTTTTTGTTTCAGAACCCCACATGCTAATCATGGAGTATGCCATGCGTGGCCGTCTCTTATCTTTGCTGAGGGCAGCCCGCAATGCCACAAATATCCTACCAGCCTCTGTGCCAGGTGGCCGCAGTTTGGCCCCTTTGTCGCCACGTACCTTAGCCGGATTTTGCTTGGACATTGCACGTGGCATGGAGTATATAGCCGAAAAGAGAGTAAGTTTTTTGGGCGAGAGAAAAGAGGGGTTAAAATGGAGAGAAGGTATATCAAATGAATGAAGGATCGGATCAGATTTGGATATAGCTCTCATATATATATCTTCGTCCGATTTCAATTTTTTTGCTCCAAATAGGATGTGTTTCAGCACATCCGACGGGAATTAACCCAGAAACAAGTTCTTTCTGAGTACTTTACCCTCTGGAAGATAATTTTTTATATACAGGGTGAGAAAAAAAGCATCAAATTTTAAAATAAGTTCAGATTTATTCGAATTGTTCACCTTTGGCACGAATTATGGTCTCCAAAGGGCCAATGAAACGCTCACACGCTGTCCGAATGTTGCTCTTCGGTATTTCAGCCCATTCCCGACGAAGCGCTTGCTTGAGGTTTTTTGTAGTGTCAACTTTGCTTGCCATAATACTCCAGACACAATAGTCCAACGGATTGGTATCCGGAGATTTTGGTGGCCATTTTGCGCTGGAAATGGAACCTCACCATTTTTGGGTGGCGCGAGTTGGGTGCGATGGTGCTGAGCCCGGTTGGAATGTCCAAGGTCTGCGGCCAAAATGTTTGAATGCCCAAGGCTTTAATACACCCTCCAGAATATTTTTGCGATAATATTCGGCAATTATTCTGGTTCCACGGTCGATTAATACGAGCGGAGTGCGACCATCTGCTGTTATGGCGGCCCACACCATCACCATGGTGACCATTTTCAGCTGACCTCTTTGGCAAGTAATCACGATCATTTTGTTTGTTAACAAACTGCTGGACAACGAATGTTTTCTCATCGGAGACGGAGAAAACCAAATTCGGCAGTTCAGAACTTTCAAGCAAGCAAAGCAACTCTTTAGCTCTTTTGAGGTCTTTTTTCTTTCTGTTGCGGTGTAAGCTCTTGCACTTATTGGAATTTCAATTGCCTTACCCCGGGCTCATTTTTCAATATTTGCCGAATGGAATATTGCGATATGTTCAGCTGCCGAGCCATTTTTCGGCCACTGCCACGCGGGTTTCGGTCAAGTCGCTTCTTTACTTTTCGAACCATTTCTGCTGATGTTGTAAACAATATAATGAGCTGTCACTGGAATAATTTAGGCTGTCGGACGAGTAGCTTAGTTTGTGTTGATTGCAGTTTTTTCATTTCACCCTGTAGATGTCCTGAAAATTTGTAATATCTTAATTTTTTTTTTCTAATTTTAATATTTTTCTTTTCCCCCAGATTGTTCATCGAGACCTGGCAGCCCGTAATGTTCTGCTCGATCATAACGGCGTTTGCAAAATCTGTGATTTCGGCATGTCCATAGATCTGGATGCGGAACGTAAACGCAAAGAGCTGGAAAAGAATTGTGCCAATGAGATAATGCGCAGTAATTTCAACAAATTCAAATTTGATTTTGGTGGTAAATTCATTATGAATCATTGGACGGCAGCGGGAGGAGGTGGTGGCGGCGGAGGTAGTCCACATAAAGATGGTGGTTGCAGTGAAAAGAAGGGTCAAGATACAATTGGTAAACGGCCGGCTTTGCCAATACGTTGGATGGCGCCCGAATCGCTGCAATACAATTGCTTTAGCACCGAAACGGATATTTGGGCATTTGGTATTGTGCTGTGGGAAATTGCAACATTAGGTGGGGAATTGAAGATGAATTTAAAAAGGGATTCATAATTAATATTGGTTCTTTGCAGGTTCTACCCCATATTCACATTTGACGGGACGTGAAGTTATACGCCGCGTGCCACAGGGTTTAAGACCCGACTTACCCAAAGAGGGACGCCATGAGTTCTATAATCTGATGTCTCGTTGCTGGCACAAGGATCCTCAGATGCGCCCAAGTTTTACACAATGCCGTTTGGAAATCAATCGTTCTCTGCACAAATGGGTCGATGATGATTCAGCTGCCTCGGATTATATGGATGTCAGCGGTTTCAGTGAGGATCTGGAACAGGGCATGGTCTATTTCAATCATCGCATATCGGAGTTTGAATGTGAAATATGACAGTAGGCATAGAACGGCCTTATACCTTTATCCTCCGAGACCTTCCCATTACTCTTCTAACCCATCCATTTTCACCACCCTAGCTTTTTTTTTGTCTCTTCATCACCAAGTGCTCGTAGCAGTATTATTATAATTGTCTCCTTATCTTCTAAATATCCAAAAAAATTCGTATTTTGCAAGTGCTAAGATTGGTGCTTTCATTGTCGAAGCGACAATGGAATACATCTTCGGAAATATTTTGAAAATATTTCGAATTTTAATGAACACATCATATTCGTTTGATTTATTTTTTTTGTAAATATTAGTGTATTATTATTATAATTCTTTTAATTTCTAAGTTATTAAGTAGTTTAGTTTTCAATTGTTTTTATCGAATCTGTACCCATCCCCACTTCGTTTGTTCTTTCTTAGATTTCTAGTCTGTATTCGAAACCCGTACTCTAATTGGTTTGATAGGATTTTTTTGTCTAAAATATCGATCGAAAATACAGGCGAATGAGAGCAAATTTTTGGAATTAGAAACTGTTTCTGTGAGACGATACAATATTGAAAGCAGTAATTTCGGCCGAACTTTGAATACCCTCCACCATTTGGAACGAATTAAAAAAATTTCAAAAAATAAAATCCCTAAAAAAATCTGTGAAAATTAAAAAAAACGAATATAGCCTTTATATTGTGGTCTACACGACGTGGACCTACATAGGCATTGTTTGTCATAAGCCATTACCATATTCAAATTCGAAACTTGAAATAAACGGTGAATTAGGTAGCTAAAATCATCAAAATATCGGGTATAGGGAGGTACCGTTATATCGGAACTGTGCGAAGACCTGGACCAGTATATACAATATTCTGTCATAGGCTGTAGCATCCATTACGAACTTTAAATACCACATCTCAATCAATTTCGGTGGGTATTGTAACTAAACTCGTCAAAATACCGAATATAGGGAGGTACTGGTCTGTCTGTCTGTTGCAATCACACTATCTTTCGGACGAATTGAGATAGAAGCCTAAAATTTTGTACACATGTTTATTTTTCCAGTAGGCAGGCTAAGTTCGAAAATGGGCCATGTCGGTCCACGTTTTCCTATAGCCCCCATATAACGGTACCTCCCTATATTCTGTATTTTCATGATTTTAGCGACATTATTTACCGGAATTATTTAAAATTTCATATTAAAATTTTATAATGGGTACTACAGCCTATGACAAAAATTTTTTGTATGCAGGTCCACGTCTTCGTATAGCCCCTATATAAAGGTACCTCCCGATATTCTGTATTTTCATGATTTTAGCGACAGTATGTACCGGAATTATTTCAAATTTCGTGTTTGAAGTTCGCTATGGGTACTACAGCCTAAGACAGAAAATTATCTCTGCAAGTCCACGTCTTCGTATAACCCCTACATAAAGGTACCTCCCGATATTCGGTATTTTCATAATTTTAGCGACAGTATTTACAGGAATTATTTCAATTTTCATATTCAAAGTTTGTAATGGGTGCTACTGCCTACGACAAAAATTGTTGTATGCAGGCCCACGTCTTCGTATAGCCCCCATAAGAGAGTACCTCAAATATTCGGTATATTGACGAAATTAGCGACATTATGCACCGAAATTGTAACAAATTTCATATTTAAAGTTCGCAATGGGTACTAAAGCCTATGACAAAAAATTTTTGTATGCAGGGCCACGTCTTCGTATAGCCCCCATATGACGGTACCTCCCAATACTGGGTATTTTTATGATTTGTGCGACATTATTCACCGGAATTGTAACAAATTTCGTTTTTAAAGTTCGTAATGGGTACTTCAGCCTATGACAAAAAAATTTCGTAAGCAGGTCCACGTCTTCGTATGGTCTCCATATAACAGTTTTCATTTAAGTGGTAGTTTCCGGAAGTTTTTTTTGAAATTTTTCAAGTTCCTTCCAACTGGTGCAGGGTATTAAAAGTTCGGCCCGGTCGAACTTAGCTGCTTTATTACTTGTTTATTTTGTATTCACTTTCGTATCGTCATACAGAAATATACCTTCAAAATTTGAATAGGATTTTTTATTTCGAAAAATGTGAATACAAATTTTGAGACAAATCAGTTCGTTTTGATTTGTATTCTCTCAAATTCCTCGTGAAACATTACTATCGAAATAGAAAAATCAACATTCACAAAATTTCAAGAGATTGATTTTCGTTCGCCTGGACTCTTGGCAAATGTCTTTATTTTTTGACCATAGAAAGATACCACAGGAAATTCTCGATTTGACAGGAAATTCTCAGATTTCTCCTCCGTTTGCAATTGGCTTTAATCATTCCACAACCCGCCAAAAATGTATTTTCATTCTGTGCACTTTCATTTTGTAAAAATATAATTTAATTATTCTTATCTTAATATAATAGTTATTATTATTATTTGTTTATGTCGAGTTTAAGTTTTCTGTGCACATTCCACTTGTATTTATCCCTATATCTATTAGTTTGTAAATAATCTATAAAAATTAAATTGTGAATATTGAAAATTATCTATATTTGTATCTGTATTGTAAATACATGTGAAAGTATCTATATATTACCGCAAAATAATATATATGTGTCTAACATCACACATTTGTTCTTCCGTTATATGTATTAGGTTTATTAAACAATTTGAATTTTATTTATAAATTTTTAAATTGATATATTTTGTTTTGTTCAAATCAGACACAACAGCAACAACACATGTTCGTATACGTACTGAAATAAAATAATGAAAAATTAAAAAAAAATTGTTGTCGATTTTTTATTTTTTTTATGATCATTAAAAAATATAAGATTATAGCGCCACATTTTATTTCTTCATAATTACAGGAAAAAAATCTGTAGATTGTGAAAATGTAGCTAACAATTTAAAACACTTGTATCGACATCGCAAAGTAACCTAAAACATGTAAAAAATTATCGGTCGGTTTTGCCGACAGATTTATACCCTCAGCCAATGTTCGATTATTTTAAAATATGTTGAATTTTCAATCTATTGACCCTCTATGGAGTGGGTTTTGAAAGAAAGTGTTAATTTTGTCCACTGCGTATCGGACCTAAATAAATATGATATAAATATTATTATAAATATATAAGGAAATCGAACATTTATATCCAATTTATTCGAAATCATAAATTCCTTATTCATCTCAGGATTTTGGTTGAAAGACATATATTTAGATATAGCAAGTTGTAAAGGATCGCTGAGTTGATTCGCAATTTATGACAGATAAAAGTATTGACGGTGAGGTATCAAAAAGGGTTCGAAGATACATAGCATCTTTATAACAGATCTTGTGTTTGTATGTGTGAAATTTAAATAGAGTTGGATACTTATTTTGCTTTCTTTGAGCGTTATGTTTTTCTAAATCTTGAACCCTATGTGGAGCAGGTAGCAAGCGAAATGGTCCGATCTCTACCATCTTTATAACAGATCTTGTGTTAATGGAAATATTGGGATGTACTATGTCTGGAATGGAATCGGATAATGATTTCACTTTTTATGAACTTCATGGATATTCAAAATTTTGAGCGTTTGTGGGGGAGGTACTAGAAGGAGTGCGCTGATATATTCCGTCTTACTACCAGATCTTGGGTTTATAAAAATAGTTGGATGTGTGAAATTTGAAGACAATCGGACTCTTACATCACACTTTATAAGAGTTGTAATTATTCAAAATTTTGACCATTTGTAGGGGAGGTACTTGGTAGAGTTTACCGATATTGACCATTTTCACACCTGACCTGGCACTGACGCAAATATTAGGATTTGCAAAGTTGGAGAAAAACGGGTTATCCTCTCTCTTTATGTGCAAAAAATATTTTTTTTTGCAAATTTCGACCTATTGTGGGGCAAGTACCAGATGGAGTGTGCCGATATTGCCCATCTTAACACCAGACCTTGGGTTAATATAAATATAGGGATGTGTGAAAATTAAAGACAACCGGGCTCTTACACCACATTTTATGAGAGTTGTAATTATTCAAAATTTTGCCCCTTTGCGAGGAGGGATTATTCTAAATTTTGAGGTACTTGATGGAGTGGACCGATATTGTCCATTTTCACACCTGATCTAAAACTGACGTATATATTAGGATTTCCAAAGTTAGAGAAAATTTTGATTATCGTTTTTCTTTCTGTGCAAAAAAATATATTTTTTGAAAATATCGACCTATTGTAGGGGAGGCACCAGAAGAAGTGGACCGATATATTCCACCTTTACAGTAGACCTTGGGCTAATAAAAATATTGAGATTTGTGAAATTTGAAGACAATCTTATATCACATTTTTTGAAAGTTGTAATTATTCAAAATATTGGCCCTTTGCGAGGGAGGTACCCGAAGGTGTGGACCGATATTGTCCATTTCCGCACTTGACCTAGCGCTGATAGAAATATTAGGATTTGCAAAGTTGGAGCAAAATCGAATCATCCTTTCTCTTTCTGTGCAATAAAATATTTTCTTTGAAAATTTCAACATTTTGTGGGAGAGGTACCAGAAGGAGTCTCCGAACTCGATCTAAGTTTGACAAAAATATTACGATGTTCCAAGTTTGGACCAAATCGGATACTCCCTTCGAGAGTTATCGTGCGCATCAGGCAGCTAGACAGACGGACGGACGGATATCGCTAGATCGACTCCAAATATTCTGCAACGGATTTGGTCCAAAGAGACCTAGGTTCTAAAACCGTTATTTCGACTAGGCACATTTTGACCGTATCAAATTGTATATACCCTCTGTAGCCATATGGCTGAGGGTATAAATATATTTTTTGTACTTTATGTGTAATCGATTAATTGATTGATTGGAATGATCAAACGTGGTCCATATCAACCCAAAATATTATATGTGGTCCCTTAAAGTGTATCCTTGCATGTGATCATCGATCAATTATATAACGACATGCTAGGTTTGAAAAAAATCGATCTCAGCAGATTCCAAATTATTAAAATTGTTGGCCCTTTATGTGTGCGCCGATATTATCCAGTTTTGCGATTTCAAGTAATTCGTGAACTCCTCTGCTCGCTCTTAAAATGTTATTTATAACTTTTCAAAATTTGTCTATTTGCGGTGAAATTTACAAAGGGGAAAACTATTTAAAGAAATTTGAAACTAATTTTGAATACCATTGTTTAGATGTCTAAAGTTTTAATTTAAAGGGTTTTTTTGAAAGTTTGGACCTTTTTTCCTGGTGGTACCAAAATGAGTACGATTTGGTAGAGTATGATAAATTCTGTGTGGAGTTGTTAATACTAGGTCGGAAAAGCCAATATTTAATTTTTTTGGGGTGAAAAAAGGGTAAAATCACACTTTTCACCCAACAAAAAAAAAATAAATAAATAAATAAATAAAAAAAAATAAATAAATAAATAAAATAAAATAAAAAAAAATTTAACTTTATCCGGTGCCCTTGGTTCTGTCGGAAGGTCCAACAAACCAAAATATAAATGTTTAAGCCAAATCGATTGAAAAATATGACCAAGAACCTCGAACTAACTAAAATCAGAGAGTAAATTACTACAAGCGCTGTTCCAACATGTGGCTCTATATTGAATATCTTTTGCTAGTAGCGTTTCTACAAAAGATGGAGCGACTAGTGGACAATGACGGGTCATTTAGACCAATGATATTTGAAGTAATCCAAAGCACTCTATAAATGCCAAAGTCATATATTAAATGTTGCGAAAAATTATATTTCAATACATTGGACCCCCTTTGTATACGGCCATGGCCATATTAAGGCCTTAAAAAGTTAAACATAAGATGTTTTGACTGCAAGATTTTTCCTCGAAATCTCCAAAATAAAAACTTCCAATCTGGCAATGCATACTATTGTCTATTTATGAGTATTTTTTTTCCTCCTTAAAATATGCTCCATACATTTGCTTGAATTTAACAAATCATTTTTATAAAGTCTGTCGCATCTAATTTTGATGGATTGAAAATTACAGCAAATGCATGCAACCAAACATTCATTCAGTCGCATAAAAAAACTACCTTCTATCCCCTATTGTGCAACTTGACATTGCATTTTTCACACATCGAATTAACAGTGACTGCATCAGACATGTCATAATAATAATGGTAATATGTAAAACGCCGAACAAAGGAAAAGCATTTTTCTCTGTTGCTGCTTGAATTCACACAATAAATTAAAGTTTCAAAAATAAATGCAATTTAAAAATGTTATATACGACGGAAATAAAAAGTAAACACAAATTAATAATTGTGTTAAAATTGAAGATGAGACAATAATATAAAAAAATTGAGAAGATGATTTGAAAATTGTTTATTTCTGTTGTAATGAATCACCCCAAATTGTTTGTCTCTTCCAGAACTGCAAGAATGTAAAAGTTTTTACTACGATAACCGCTTATGATATCTAAAAAAATTGCAAAACTAGTACATTCTTGCAGGTTTTGAAAAAGAATATTAACGTTATTTTTATACCGTCCACCATAGTGTGGAGGGTATATTAAGTTTGTCTGCATAAAATTTTATGCCGATTTAGCGATGTCCTTTCGTCTGTGGAAATCACTTTAGCTTCCGAACGAAATGAAGTAGATTAACAAAATTTTACTCCGATGTGTGTTTTTCTGCAGAGCTTCTGGTATTGAAAAAGGGGACGTTTTGATATAGGCCACATATAACAGTACCTCCTAATATTAGGTATTTTGATGATTTAAACCGGAATTATTTCAAATTTCGTATTTACATTTCGTAACGGGTACTACAGCTTGTGACGTAAAATTCCCTATGCAGGCCCACGTGTACTTATAGTCAAAAATAGCAATAGGTACTGCAAGCTAACGACACCTCCCTATATTCCGTATTTTGATGGGTTTAACAACACTATTCACCGGAATTGTTTCAAAGTTCGTATTTGCAGTTCGTAATGGAGGTCCAGTTGTTTGCATAGCCCCCATATAACGGTACGTCCATTAATTCGGTATTTTATTTTAATGTTATAGTGTATTAGTGTATTGCGTATTTGAATATTGTAAGGGTCTATGACATTTTTTTTTTGCAAATTCCTTCCAAGTGGTGCACGCTGTTAAAAGTTTCGTAGATCTTTTATGGTTGATTTTACCAAGGATTGACAGAACAATAATCGTTGATTTTGGCATTTCTGTAAGAATTGATCGGGATTTTAAAACAGTATTTGTAAAGGATCCCACAATAATGGTTTGTCTAGAAACCCAAGGACTTTTGGAACAATAATAGTGCATCTTGTAAGTCTACTCCTTTTCGAACTTCCTCCCAAAGAAATTTCACATTTAATAATAATTCTACTGATATTATATCTAGCTTAAAGGTGATATATATGGATACAATTCTTCTGGTACCTTCCCGACAAAATGTCGAAATTTTTCTGGAGTCAAACTGAATATTTATCTGATACCGGCTGATAATTGCACCCTATATCACATAGTGGTAAGGGTATTATGTTTTCGTGCATTTGTTTGTAAAACGGAGAAGGTAGCGAGGTAGATGAGTCGATTTATGCATGTCAGTCCGTCTGTTGTCCGTCCGGCCATCCGTCTGTCCATGCATTTTTGTGAACAAACTGCAGGTTGAATTTACTATCCGATTGTGATGAAATTTTCCAAATAATATTTCTTTGGTCCATGGACGAACCCTATCGAAATTGGTGAGAATCGGTTCAAATTCATATAATATATATCTTCAACCGATTGTGCACCAAATGACAAATACCAGTCAATATG